GACTTCTGTTTCTCATCCCATCCCTTCTTGCCTTGCCTGTCTTTGTCTTCAGTTATCCTTCTGTGCTGCTAAATTTAATAACCCATTTTTGGTGCTTATCCTATTTCACTATTCTGCAAAATTTGACACTATTGTTCCACTTTAGTTCTATTTAGAAAATAACTTTCCCCCATGTCTACAAGTAATTCATTATCCAACATTTAGAAAGCAGAAACAGTAATTTAAAAACTCCCATAGGCAGAATTTTTTCACAATGTATGCATGTATTAAATCATCATGAATTACACATTAACCATGTTCTAATTTTGTCAATTGTATCTCAGTCAAGCGGGGCCAGGGGGAAGAGGGAGAGAAGTGGTGGCCAGAGCTGAGCAGGGATGGAGGCATGAACAGGAGGAACAGAGAGGATTTGAGGGACAGTGAAACTATTCTGTATGATACCATAATGGTGGCTACAGGTCATTATGCAGTTGTCAAAGCCCGTGAAATGTACAGCATCAAGAGAGAACCCTAACGTAAACTGGGGACTTTGGATGATAATGACGTCTCAGTGTGGGTTCCTCAGTTGTAACAAATGTACCACGCCGGTGAGTGATGCTGATAGTTGGGGAGGCTGAGGTGCATGTGTGGGGCAAGGGATGGGAACTCTCTGTACTTGCACTCATTTTGCTGTGAACTTGAAACTGTTCTTAAAAAGTAAAGTGTATTTAAAAAGTAAAGAAACAGAAACTCCCATAGAGTTTCCTGGAAATATATTTCCAGGATTTTCCAATGTATATGATAAGGGTTTGTATACCTACAGACACCCACAGTTATCACTTAATATATTAAAATTTTCCACGTTTAACAAATATTCTTCTATAGCATGATTTAAATTAGATGGATAATATTCCATTATATAGATGTGCTAGGCTTTACTTAACCAACTCCCTCCAGTTGAGTATTCAGGTTATTTCTGAAATAGCATTATCATTAGGAATCCTACGGTTTACACCTTTCTATGTAAACTTTTGTGTAGAGCTATAATAACCACCGTAGGATAGATTTCTAGACACAGGAGTTGATGGGTCAAAGGGTATTTATACTTTTTACACTCTGGATACACATCAATAAATCTGTTTCTGGAAAGGTTGTAGCAGTGTATTCACGCAATAGAAATGCTACAAAGACTTGAGGTTACGAACTTTGGAGTTCTTTTCCATCCCCGGCACTGACGCCACCTTCTTCATTCTGCCCAAAATGCCCTGTCCCCTCAGGTTCAGTTTTCATCCTTTTCCATCTTTTTCTTGCACAAGTTCTTCCTTGATGATTTTACTCCCTTAGTCCAAACCAGAGGCTGATGACTCCGAGGTGAGTGCCTCAGCCGCTCCTCCTCTCCACCACCTTCCCGACTGGAACTTGACCTCGGAATCATTTCGCTCAGACTTCCTGTGTTCCCCACATCAGCGAACTCCAGCCACTCTTCCTCAGCCCTGAAGTTGCCTTGTTATCCTCGGCCGGGATGAGAGAACCTCCCCAGAATAGAAACTTCTTTGGGGGAACTGTAATAATTTTTGGTAAACAAAATTCTCTCTTATTTCACTGATAAACAGGCTAAGGTTTGTTTTTCTGCACCACCAGCCTCTCAAGCTGTCTCTTTCCTTGTTTCTTTCACTCACTGCATGTCCTTGTCTTCTTGCACTGTGACCTCGTTCCTCAGCTGCTGCCGATCTCCTAGGACAGGTTAGCGTGGGACTCCGGCTGTCCCAGAGTTGGCAGAGGCAACCGTACCTCCTACTACCGACCGCTGCGTATGACCCTCAGCAGAACAAAACAGACCCAGACATTCTAGCGCTGCTCTGGCTAGCCCGAGTCTGTAGCTGATGCCTCCCAGACCTCTGTACAACCCACCTCCTCCTCTGTCTGCTCACTAGCGTTGCTGTTAAGTCAGACTGCAGCCGGAGGGAGAGAAAGAAAACCACTTTGTTTCTTTCGGAAGATAACTTTGATGGATGTGTTTGTTATTGCCTGACTTCCTTTGAACCAGTCTCTCCACTCTCAAGGCAGTTAATCTCTTATCTGAGAGGGAGGGAGTGAACAGGACCTACCTGCAGGGTTGTTTTAATAAGTATATGAGATAATGCATGTGAAGGTGCTGAACCCAGTGCCTGACAGGAACTGAACATCCAGGAAACGTTAGCTCAGCATCATCAGTGCCATCACTGTCCTTGAAGACCCACTTATAAGGATCTAAAGCTACTCTTCATTTCTCTAAAAAGGGTTGCTGGCTTTTCTATAGTATTTTGAAATTGCTTTACTTGGACACTTATTTTATCTTAACTATTTCTATTTTTACTACACTGTGAGCTCCTCACACAACTGTTTAAATTCATTTTTTTAATATCCTCCAAACCCAGCCATGTGTCTGGTGCATAGGAGGTGGTAAATAAATATATGTTAGAAGAGTCTTGACTCTTAGCTCACACTATTCTCGAAAATCACTTTCAGTTTGCAAATCTAGACGTGAAAGCTAAAACAACAAAGATTCTAGGAAAAGATTTGGAGAATATCTTCATGAGGTAGGAGCAGGGAAAGATTTCTTGAGCAAAACCAAACAAATACTTTAAAAAAAGAAATGAATATGCTGGTATCAAGAATAGAAGATATCTGGAAAATTAATTTCTCAGAGGAAAACCAAAACAATCTAAACATAAAATTTAGGTGTGTAAATGAACTTCCAATTTCAAATGTCTAAAATATGTAGCACTTAATTTCTACAATGAACATTGTAGGAAAAGAGTACCTTTATTTCCCCAGTAACCATGATCTAAAACCTTGATGTCTTTTTTTTTCCCCTATAGTATTGGGATGACAGGTTGACCTTTCTCACGAGGTATCAAGGTCATATGAACTCACCAACTCCCTATCAGTCTTTAGTAGCTCTTATCTAACAGTTAGATATGGACCATTGGTTTTAATATTAAGTGGAGCTTATTACTGAATGATGGTTTTTGATCCTAGTAATTATATCTTCCTATCTTAAATATGTCATCTGACAGTCTGCTAGAGTATAGAAAGAAGATCTCTGAACCTCTACATTTATCATATATTTTTGCAACTTCAATTTTTGTATATGATTTTATAATATATATAGTAAATTAGTGATGTTAAAAATATAGAGTACTGGGGCACCTAGGTGGCTTAGTCGGTTAAGCGTCTGACTCTTGATTTTGGCTCAGGTCATGACCTCAGGGTCGTGAGATTGAGCCCCACTGGGCATGGAGCCTGTTTAAGATTCTCTCTCCTTCTCCCCACCCCCGTACCCACACTCAGGTGTGCTCAATCTCTTAAAAAATATATATGTAAGAGGGTTCCCCTTTCTCCACAACCTTTCCAACATTTGTTGGTGGGAATGCAAGTTGGTACAGCCACTTTGGAAAACAGTGTGGAGGTTCCTCAAAAATTTAAAAATAGAGCTACCCTATGACCCAGCAATTGCACTCCTGGGTATTTACCCCAAAGACACAGATGTAGTGAAAAGAAGGGCCATATGCACCCCAATGTTCATAGCAGCAATGTCTGCAATAGCCAAACTGTGGAAAGAGCCGAGATGCCCTTCAGCAGATGAATGGATAAAGAAGATGTGGTCCATATATACAATGGAATACTACTCAGCCATCAGAAAGGATGAATACCCAACTTTTACATCAACATGGATGGGACTGGAGGAGATTATGCTAAGTGAAATAAGTCAAGCAGAGAAAGTCAATTATCATATGGTTTCACTTTTTTGTGGAACATAAGGAATAGCATGGAGGACATTAGGAGAAGGAAGGGAAAAATGAAGGGGGGGAGAAATCAGAGGGAGAGATGAACCATGAGAGACTATGGACTCTGAGAAACAAACAGGGTTTTAGAGGGGAGGGGAGAGGTGAGATGGGTTAGCCTGGTGATGGGTATTAAGGAGGGCACGTACTGCATGGAGCACTGGGTGTTATACGAAAACAATGGATCGTGGACCACCACATCAAAAACTAATAATGTATTGTATGGTGACTAACATAACATAATAAAATTAAATATATATATATGTATAAATATATATATGTATATATATAGAGAGAGAGAAAGAGTATTAAAAGTATATATGCATATGGCAGCATTATAGGCTCAAAACATTTTTACTAACAGATGAGCCCAAACAAAGAGAAATATTGGCCACTAGTTTAATTAAAATGTTTTAAATACTCAGAGCAGAAACTGTTGCTAGAATTTTTGTCTGGTGGTATGATCACGATCAAGAGTTTTACATCCAGGGTGCCTGGGTGGCTCAGTTGGTTAAGTGACTGCCTTCGGCTCAGGTCATGATCCCGGAGTCCTGGAATCGAGTCCCACATCAGGCTCCCAGCTCAGTGGGGAGCCTGCTTCTCCCTCTGACTCTCTCCCCTCTGATGCTGTTTCTCTCTCGCTCGCTCTCTAATAAGTAAATAAAATATTAAAAAAAAAAAAAAAGAGTTTTACATCCAGCTCTCCGTGGCTACAGGGATTGGGGGAGGTAGCATTGGTGTGGGGTCTTTTGGTTGATTCATATTTGGTTGGGGCTTGATCTCCTTAGGATGTCTATTGTGATGCTTTAAATTAAAAGAGGCAGGTGATGGGCGCCTGGGTGGCTCAGTTGGTTAAGCAACTGCCTTCAGCTCAGGTCATGATCCTGGAGTCCCGGGATCGAGTCCCGCATTGGGCTCCCTGCTGCTCATCAGGGAGTCTGCTTCGCCCTCTGACCCTCCCCCCTCTCATGTGCTCTCTCTCTCTCATTCTCTCTCTCTCAAATAAATAAATAAAATCTTTTAAAAAACATAAAATAAAATAAAAGAGGCAGGTGAGTGTATGCATTTAAAAAGAGATTATAATGTGTCTTTTTAAAAGCTATTTTTAAATGTCTGTTATGAAGAGTGGTAAGCTGTAAGTCAGAAAAGGGTAAATAATGTTTAATTTTAATTAATTACTTTCTTATATCCTAGGCTGACCAGATATCGGGGTTTCATATAAGATCTGTTCTCTGCGTCCCTATTTGGAATAGCAACCACCAAATAATTGGTAAGACATTACCTAAATAATTTAAAGTTCTTTTTCTTTTTTCATTTTTTTTTCATTTGGGGGGGCAGGTGAGGGGCAGAGGGAGAGAGAAACTTACACAGACTCCATGCTGAGCGTGGAGCCGATGCAAGGCTCAATCTCATGGCTCTGAGATCGTGACCTGAGACAAAACCAAGAGTTAGATGCTTAACCAACTGTGCCACCCAGGTGCCCCAGTGCAAACTTCTTGTATAAAGAAAGACAAATTTACTTTAAAATACACCATATCTTTTGTACCTGCTCCCCGCTTTTACACTTGATCTTAGCAAAAAGGCCAAGAAGTGATACCTGCTCCCCGCTTTATGTCCAGGACTCATCAAGCTATGTTTCATTCTCTCATATAATTTCATAAGTGCAGATGCCTAATGAATTGACATTAACCAGAACAATGAACAAAGATTTATTCTTTTAACTAAGGACCAATAATTTTGAAGTTGGAGGGGATCTCAGAAATCAACTAATACAACTCTCCTGTCTTACCTTGGGGAAATTGAGGTGGGATGGTGGAATCACACAAAGACCAGAATAAAGTCACAGAAAGTTAGTAGCAGGATCGGGATTACAAGTCAGGCCTCCTAACTCCTATACAGATTTTCCCACTACATCTGTATTTTCCATCTATGCTTTTACACATGGAGTACATGCAAAGGAAAAAGAACATGCATTATTATACATATACTGAGCATGTATCTTTCTGTCTGGATGATTCTGAAATAGGTTATACTTGACCCAGAATAACAGAACTGTGTGCCAAAGCAGCTTCCAAGTTTTTTCTCCCTCCTTTGCTCCTTTCCCTCCCCTCAGAACCTCTGTCAGGAAAGTATCAAACCCAAGAAAGAAGTCAGTGGGTAAAGTAGAGAAGTCATAAAGAGTGGAGGCCTTAAAATTATTGAAACATAATTAAAACATGATTTTTTTTTCTAAGAGACACAAGGTAACTAGTGCATTTGCCTTTCTTTGCTTCCCTCCAACATTGTTTGTTAAACTGTAAGACACTGCTACTTATCAAAAGATTTAGTATACTGTAAATATTATCAAGACTTGAACTGTAACAGAATTTTTTTCATCAGTTCGCTTAATTTGCAGAAAAATATTGGTACATTAATGAACATAAAGAATGTTCTAAGAGTTGGGAATTCGAGCCCCTAGTACAAAGTGTTGAATTGTATCATGTATAGTTTTAAATATATTTAAGTTTAAAGAGAAGAGAAAGTGCATAAGAAACACTGTTTCTGTGCTATCTGTTGATGTCCAATGGCAATCTCAAATACGGTCGTAGCTTTCGTTCGTAACAGTAAACATCTGTTATTCTTTCCAGATTAAGACTGCAGTTTGCCTATTACACGCTAAAGATTTGTGTTTCATTATATACGTCATTATATGTGTCTTCTAGCATATGATGCCTTACTTCCCTAGGGGGAACGTAGGTGTTTTAAAACACACAGGTATGCTTCAGAATTATAGCTATTTTTTGTTTGTACCAAATGGGGACAGAGGAGAATGTTTTTCAAGATTGTTCAGTTTTTCTGGTTAGAGTTGTATGTTTTGAGAGTCTTGCCCCAAAACATCTGGTACAATGCTGGAAATGAACTTTGGAAAGAGGAAGTACATAGGAATTAAGTTTGTTAGAAGTGTGTGTACCCCATTGGTAGAGGGCAGCAGATCTAACCTTGCTTTGAAGGTTAACTGTGCCACAATCCCCCACATTTCTTGAATGTTCACTCCATGTGGAGCAATATGCTTTAAAACATTCAAACATTATCTCATTTCATCTTCATAACCCTCTGAGATAGTGAACATTTTAATCCCCATTTTACAGATGAGGATTTTCAGTGCTAAAAAAGTTAGGTAACTTGTTCAAGGTAACAGCCGATGGTGGCGTTGAAATGTGACCTGAGACAGTGTGACACCAGAGCCCATGTTCTTAATCATGATGTCATCCTGCCTCGCTCAAGCACTGTGTTCCATGGGATTGAAAACATAAAAAATTACGTAAATATATGTAGACACACATATGTATATACACACAGTTATTAATACTCAGTGTATATCTAATTGCATATATGTGTATATGAGTGTGTATATTTGTCAGACATATCCGAGTCACTGTGCACAATCCTCCTGAAAACCATTTTCAAGGAATCAGACTGACGCCCAGTAGAACTCCAGGCTTCACTGTGACCCTGTTTGGATATCACATCCTTGAAGATAGACCGCATCGCTGTACCTCAGATCTGTCCCATGGAGACAGCAGGCAGTGGGAAGACCAGAGATTAGACTGAGTGTCTGAAGTTACCTAAGGGAGGTATTGAGTCAGCTGGGCTTTATTATATTATAGTAATACAGTGGCCAGTGCTAAAAATGATCACGTCACCCAAACTCTTCCCACAGGAGTGGCTCAAGTGTTAAATAGACTTGACGGGAAAGCTTTTGATGATGCAGATCAACGACTTTTTGAGGTAAGAAAATAAATTTGTGAACCAAAGGCTAGGGCTGAGTCACCAATAGTCTCCTGGTTGCAGCTTGCCAAAATCTGTCAAGAGTATGTCTGTAGTTGCCAGACCGCCAGCCAGCTCCGCGGCAAGTTCGGCCATCTCCTTTCTTGTGTTTTCAAGCCTCCCTTTATTCCAGTCTGCCCTGTAGCTGGAAATGTTGGCCTTGAACAGGCATCCTTCTAAACTTTGCACCAGCAGTAGCCAACATGAAAACCCCATGATTATTTTTTCTCTAGGAGAGAATACCTCACAGCTTCTTTACTAACTGGTTCTAGATCTATCTTCCTTCCACTTAATAACATTTACCTCATGGGTATGCTTACTTGGTTTCCTCACCAAAATATTTTATAGCCTAGCCACTAAAAGAGGGTGCTTTAGTTTAATGGAATGGAATTACTAAAACCAGTCCACGACCTAAATAAATTAAGAACACATTTGGTAAGACTGTAAATATGTCTTTAAATTTATAAAGTCATTTCTTCACCATGACATTATGTTAATAATTTTTTCTCATGTGCAATGTGAGCTATAAAGTTGTTACATGACAATAGTAATTAAGAATTTTAATGTGCGTATTTCCCCAAGGCCTACCTCTGTGTACAATAAAATTATATTTTCAGACCCATTTCTGATGACTGCCTGCTTTCATATTAGATTATACCAATGAGTTATTGCAATTTTTAATTAGTGGGCTTTCTCTTTCCTAGGCTTTTGTCATCTTCTGTGGCCTGGGCATCAACAACACAATTATGTATGATCAAGTGAAGAAGTCTTGGGCCAAGCAGTCCGTGGCTCTTGATGTAAGTCAGTATTTATGTCCAAATCATATGCTTAAAAGCCCTAATTTTATGAGAGAAAAAAGGTCCTTGTTATGGGACTAATTTCTCAATTTTTAATTACCTATTCATTGGGTTTTAATTATTTTAGAGTCATGTGTTTGAATTTGATGAAAGCCACAGACCCTCTCTAGAACAATGCACCTGTGCACACAATTTTGCATACAATTTTGGGGAGTTTACAGATTCCTTGAAGACCATCCATATGTTGCACAGTTAGATATAGATTTTATGTGTTAGGTTTATTAAAAGTGATGATACAAAAACAATTTGTCAGGATTTATTTAAAATTAAATGCATTATGAACTTATTTTGAATATGTATAGGTAGTCTGGAAATTCACAACTTTTCTTACCATAGAAGAACCCTTCACTGTGAAGATATGTGACCCAGGTGGGGGAAGCTGCTCCTGTCATTCTCCAACTCCCCCGCCACAAACACGTACACCTCCCACTGAGAACTCCGACCTATTCCCCAGACCTAAACTGCATCTCCCCTCAGACTAAGTCCCAAAATAGTTCTCCCTGGATTGCAGCTTGTTTCTTTTCTCAAATGGTACAATGCTCTTTTAAAGTACTAAGACGTTAAACTCTACCTACAACATTAGAACAGAAACTTAAAGATTTAAAAGTATTCTGCTCCAAACCCATCATTTTTTTTTTAGCTGCAAGTAGCTATAGCATTTTTTATTAAGTTCAATTAATTAACATATAACGTATTAATACTTTCAGAGGTAGAGGTCAGTGACTCATCAGTCTTATATAATACCCAGTGCTCATTACATCACATGCCCTCCTTAATGTCCATCCCCCAGTTACCCCATACCCCCACCTCCCTTCCCTCCAGCAACCCTCAGTTTGTTTCCTATGATTAAGACTCTTATGGTTTGTCTCCCTCTCTGATTTCATCTTGTTTTATTTTTTCCTCTCTTCCCCTATGATCCTCTGTTTTGTTTCTTAAATTCCACATATGAGTGAGATCATATGATACTTGTCTTTCTCTGACTGATTTATTTCACTTAGCCTAATACCCTCTGGTTCCATCCACGTTGTTGCAAATGGCAAGATTTTATTTTTGTTGATGGCTGAGTAGTATTCCTGTGTGTGTGTGTGTGTGTGTGTGTGTGTGTGTGTGGTATATATATCACATCTTCTTTATCCATTCATCTATCGATGGACATCTCGGTTCTTTCCACAGTTGGGCTATTGTGGACATTGCTGCTGTAAACATTGGGATGCAGGTGCCCCTTTGGATCACTACATTTGATCTTTGGGATAAATACCTAGTAGTGCAATTGCGGGGTCCTAGGGTAGCTCTACTTTCAGCTTTTTGAGGAACCTCCACACTGTTTTCCAGAATGGCTACTCCAGCTTGCATGCCCACCAACAGTGTAGGAGGGTTCCCTTTTCTCCGCATCCCCACCAACATCTGTCGTTTCGTGAGTGGTTAATTTTAGCCATTCTGACTGGTGTGAGGTGGTATCTCATTGTGGTTTTGATTTGTATTTCCCTGATGCCAAGGGATGTTGAATATTTTTTCATGTGTCTGTTGGCCATCTGTATGTTTTCTTTGGAGAAAGGTCTGTTCATGTCTTCTGCCCATTTCTTGATTGGATTATTTGTTCTTTGGGTGTTGAGTTTGATAAGTTCTTTATAGATTTTGGATACTAGCCCTTTATCTGATATGTCATTTGCAAATATCTTCTCCCATTCTGTAGGTTGTCTTTTGGTTTTGTCAACTGTTTCCTTTGCTGTGCAAAAAGCTTTTTATCTTGATGAAGTCCCAATAGTTCATTTTTGCCCTTGCTTCCCTTGTCTTTGGAGACATGTCTAGCAAGAAGTTGCTGCGGCTGAGGTCACAGAGGTTGCTGTCTGTGTTCTCCTCTAGGATTTTGATGGATTCCTGTCTCACATTTAGGTCTTTCATCCATTTTGAGTCTATTTTTCTGTGTACAGTGTAAAGAAATGGTCCAGTTTCATTCTTCTGCATGTGGCTGTCCAGTTTTCCCAACACCATTTGTTGAAGAGACTGTCTTTTTTCCATCGGATATTCTTTCCTGCTTTGTCAAAGATTAGTTGACCATAGAGTCAAAGGTCCATTTCTGGGCTCTCTATTCTGTTCCATTGATCTATGTGTCTGTTTTTGTGCCAGTACCATACTGTCGTGATGATGACAGCTTTGTAATAGAGCTTGAAGACTGGCATTGTGATGCCACCAGCTTTGGTGTTCTTTTTCAACATTCCTTTGGCTATTTGGGGTCTTTTCTGGTTCCATACAAATTTTAGGATTATTTGTTCCAGCTCTGTGAAAAAGGTTGATGGTATTTTGGTAGGGATTGCATTGAATGTATAGATTGCTCTAGGTAGCATAGACATTTTAACAATATTTATTCTTCCAATCCAGGAGCATGGAATGTTTTTCCATTTCTTTGTGTCTTCCTCAATTTCTTTAATGAGTGTTCTCTAGTTTTCTGAGTACAGATCCTTTACCTCTTTGGTTAGGTTTATTCCTAGGTATCTTATGGTTTTTGGTGCAATTGTAAATGGGATCAGTTCCTTAATTTCTCTTTCTTCTGTCTCATTGTTAGTGTATAGAAATGCAACTGATTTCTGTGCATTGATTTTATATCCTATCACTTTGCTGAATTCCTGTAAGAGTTCTAGCAATTTTGGGGAGGAGTCTTTTGGGTTTTCCACATACAGTAGCATGTCATCTGCAAAGAGTGAGAAGTTGACTTCTTTGTCGATTCGGATGCCTTTATTTCTTTTTGTTGTCTGATTGCTGAGGCTAAGACTTCTAGTACTATGTTGAATGGCAGTGGTGAGGCTGAACATCCATGCCACGTTCCTGACCTTGGGGAAGCTCTCAGTTTTTCCCCATTGAGAATGGTATTCACTGTGGGGTTTTTGTATATGGCTTTTATGATACTGAGGTATATTCCCTGTATTCCTACACTGTGAAGAGTTTTAATCAAGAAAGGATGCTGTACTTTGTCAAATGCTTTTTCTGCATCTATTGAGAGGATCATATGGTTCTTGTCCTTTCTTTTATTAATGTAGTGTATCACATTGATTGATTTGCAGAATCCCAGCCTGTTTTGACCTAAGACCTATTGTTTCCCCCAACTTCTGTAACTATTATCAAAGATTCTTTTCATATCTGTGAAATACTTATTAAGTAGGGCAGAAAAAATATCACATAATATATGACATCATCTAGAACAGCATAATATAATACATGTGCAATCTTCAAAATATTCTGTGTACCAAGCAAGATATTGGTAGAAAGATAAAACTAAGGGAAAGGATAAGTAGGTAACACAATAGTACCTGCAGCACTTTGATTTAAGGTTTAAAGACATAAAATTACTTCTTTACCAAAAACTTTTCTACCCTTAATTGAACCATGAACATCCTAGCTCTGTCACCTACCTCAGTTGTGAGAATTAAATGAGATGATACATGAGATTTTTTTTAAATAATTTTTTATTGTTATGTTAATCACCATACATTACATCATTAGTTTTTGATGTAGTGTTCCAGATACATGAGATTTTAAAACTCCATCAATAAAATTATAGTAGTACCAATAATCACCACATTATTACTTGCAGTAATATGTTTATTCCCGAGAAATCACCATAGATTGTAAGAAAGAAAAGAGGACAGGAATTTTGAACAGCAAATGTCATGACTCTTCCACCATCTTCAAATTTTGACCTCCACAGAGTTGCCTCAGCCAGCTTTAGCTTCTTTAAAAACTTTAGTTTCTGCAACTGTGAAAAAGACACACTATACACTAGTCCCACAAACTCTATTTCATCCTGTCATCTTGTACTTCACACACACAACAGCTCCTATACACCCACATTCAAGCTCCTCACCGCCCCCTGGTGGATCTTCATCCCATTGAGAAGGGAGTGGAATCCGTGGGTTGAAGCTCGAGCTGCCATTCACCAGTGAGAGGTGGCACTCTCACTGGCACCACGGCCTAGTCGCCACTGGACCCCAAGGAGTCACAGTTCCCGTTACCTAGAAAGTGCTACCACAGCCACAGTCTCCTCACCCATGAAGTGCTCATTTGGGTTCATAGTGAACACCCTCTTGTTTGTGTAACTCAGATACCTTCCATCCTTACACACAAAAAGTATTCCTGACGCTCCCAAATTTCCAGCCCAAGTCTGGGCCTCATGGCAGTCTCACCCCTTCAGAAGTTGCTGGTATGTGTGGCTGTACGTTCTGTGTGCTTGCCCAGGCACAACTCTGGTGTTGCCATCGTGGTTCGTCCCTCCCCGCTCTGCTCAACTCCTACCTCACTAGATACAAAACTCTGATCTCTAATGATGGGGGGGTGGAGGTGGAATCCATTCCTCACCCAGGGATCCATATGCAAGAATATCTGGAAGGATTTCTTATCTCAGGGCTTTATGAAGACAAAAGATGATTTGTTGAGAGCTACTAAACCCAAACTCTGGAATGAAATCTACATGTATACATTAACTTTTGAATGAATATATATATATATTTTTTAAATTTATGTATTTATAAATACTGTAGATGGGTGTGAATAATATAATTTTATGTAAATATTTCTATTAAAAGTCTGTATTTATAAGCAGCCTATTCCAGTAAAGGATTTAAGCTACTTTATAGGAATGCAAATAATTCAGCAAATGTTTTAAGGTAAAATTGTAATGATGACTAATAATAATAACAGCAGCAACATAACAGAGGAGAGAGAGAGGACACACAAGCCAGAGGGGACAGAACCACATGCATTGCTATCCTTCTATCATCTCCGTCGCTCATCCCCAAGGACCTGGAATGACCCTCTCCTCTTTTTTCAGTGTGGCTAAGGAAAGATTCCCTACTTGGATCTGGTTAGATTCTTCTTCTGCTTGTGTTGTCTCATTTTTTACTTATTCTCTTCAGTTTTTTCTGCTTGATCTTGCACAAGAAGATCTT